TTCAGAGTTGTTAAGTCTGTTTAAAACAAATTGGCATCACTTTAAAATTATGTTAAATGCTTGTTTCTGACATATGATTTTTATTGTTTTGTGTATAATATGATATATAAAAATCGAAAACACTAAAAATTAATTAATTTAAATAAAAGAAAAATAGAAAAAGAAAAGTAAAGAAAAGAAAACAAAATAAATATTAGAACGGCGATGGTAAGGATTTGAACTTATTAGTAATTTTAAATTTTAATTAATAACTGAACTTTTACAACATATTTCCAGCAAACATTCACAATCGACCGATATATAATTAGGTGTACTGAAACTTAAGACTTATAATTTTTTACAAGTTGAGCCTAACTTTAAAGATTTCAAAAGTATTATTGATTTTAAAAATTCACACGTTTTCTTTTATAAGTTGCAAGTATTTGTTTGTTACTCAGAAAGAAAAAATTACGGTTAATATCCCAGCCTGTTGCTGGCAAAAACATAGAAAAAAAATCACGTAAGCCTTTTAATGACTAACACATTATAAACAGAAAGTTAATAATATAGTAAAAGATAAAATTATTTTATAAATGTCCATAAGTTCATATAAATAGTAATTTCAAAATATATATTATAATGATGATAACGGAATTTTTGAAATACTATGTTTTTTAATTTAATATATTGTATTTTACTGAACATACGTAGCGTGTGTTCAGTAAAACACATGTATGATAAGTCAGCTGTTCTAATTTGTTGAAATTAGTTGGAACTTCATTCCATACAATATAAAAAGTTTATATTTTATATTTAAAAACATATGTTTTAATTTATGTAAAATAATAATATATTATATATTAATGCCAATAACGAACGTGGGAAAGTAGCTAAATTCTCCATTATACAATTACTTAGTACTGAAAGTTTATATTACCGATCTGTTCATACAAGTGTGATTCTGATAAAAACCTGTTGATTTGCTCCTACTGGAATTTAGTCTGGTTTTAAGCTTTGAATAAGATTGTTCTACATATCATTTACAATAAAAATTTATTGTTATAATTTAAAATAAGTTGCAAAATGAATGAAATGAGTATGTACGAAGGATATAAATCCCCTTTGAGCACTCGATATGCTAGTAAGGAGATGCAGTTTTTATTTAGTGATCAACATAAATTTGCTACTTGGAGGCATTTATGGATTTGGTTAGCGCAAGCTGAACAGGTATATTTTTAATTTCTGCATTTTTATTGGTTTAATATTAAAAAAATATTTAGTCTCTTGGATTAGCAATAACTGATGCACAAATTGGTGAAATGAAAGCAAATGTGAATGATATTGATTTCCAAGCTGCCGCTGCTGAAGAACGCCTTACCCGGCATGATGTCATGGCCCACGTACATGTTTTTGCAAAACAATGCCCACTAGCTGCACCAATTATACACTTAGGAGCTACTTCATGCTATGTTGGTGATAATACGGATTTAATAATATTGCGAAGTGCATTAGATCTTTTGTTACCGCGATTAGCATCCGTTATACATTGTTTGAAAGAATTTGCTTCTATGAATAAATCTCTACCTACCTTAGGATTTACGCATTTACAACCGGCACAATTAACCACAGTTGGGAAACGTGCATGCCTATGGATACAAGATTTAGTTATGGACGAACGTGCTCTACGTCGTTGTCGTGAAGATTTGAGATGTCGTGGTGTAAAAGGTACAACTGGTACACAAGCGTCATTTTTACAACTTTTTAATGGTGACAGTGAAAAAGTTAAACAGTTAGATTTGCTAGTAACTAAATTAGCAGGATTTGAAAAACCTTATGGAGTTACAGGACAGACATATAGTCGAAAAGTAGATGTCGAAATAATTGGAGCACTTGCTAGTTTAGGTACTACTGTGCATAAAATGTGCTCTGATCTACGTTTATTAGCTTCCAGAAAAGAACTCGAAGAACCATTTGAAACAACCCAAATTGGTTCATCTGCTATGCCATATAAACGAAATCCTATGCGTTCGGAACGTTGCTGTGCACTTGCACGTCATTTAATAACGTTATTTTCAAATGCTGCAAATACTCATGCCACACAATGGCTTGAACGAACCTTAGATGATTCGGCAAATAGACGTTTAACTTTATCCGAAGCATTTTTATGTGCTGACGCCACTCTTTTAACTTTACTTAATATTTCACAAGGCATGGTGGTTTATCCTAAAGTTATTGAAAGACATATTGCACAGGAATTGCCATTTATGTCTACAGAAAATATTATAATGGCAATGGTTAAAGCTGGTGGTGACCGCCAAGAATGTCATGAAAAGATTCGCGTACTTTCACAAGAAGCTGGGTCTCAAGTTAAACAATACGGCAAAGATAATGATTTAGTTGAACGTGTACGTAATGATTCATATTTTGCTCCAATTTTATCTCAACTAAAAGAAATTCTTGATGCAAAAACTTTTATTGGTCGTGCTGCCGAACAAGTGGATGAATTTATAGCTGAAGAGGTAGAACCTGTTTTATTACGCTATCACGACGTACTTAAAAATATAAAAGTTGTTACACTAAATATTTAAATAGACTGGACTTAAAGTTTAGTTTTTCGTATTTACTTTATATCTTGTATACTTATTTTGCTATACAATAAAATGAAGTGCAACAGTTACAAATTATATGAAGCAAGTTTAATGTAAAAAATTTCAGTAATGTATATAAAGCAGGCTTTAGATTTTTTAAATAACAATATAAACTCTGCCTATTCTATTAACGTCTATTTTGTCTTAATAGCATTTATAAAATATTTTGAGACTACTGACAGCCCCGTGCGAATACAATGCCTGCAACGGAAACGTAGCTAATTGAACTTTTAATAGTTCAATTTAATGCTAAAAAAACAAATAACATTTTATTTCTTATTTTTTCTTGTTTTGTACAGCGTTATCAGATTTTTATTGTCGGTCGGCTAGCATCAGAAATAGGCTTTACTGCCGCTTAAACACAAATGTACGAAGCCCGTAAATAACTTCGCATAATTGTAATGGCAAAAGAGACACATACGTAGTCTTGCAATCTGTTGTGCATTTGACACATCACGACTCAGCTGCAAATGCATCGATCTGCTGCTCGACTGCGGCCTGAGATGTTGCAAATGTTAAGCTCATATGGTGTTGAGCTGTTTGTGTTAACTTCGCAATTTATCAGCAGCATTTGCTATATTTAATTGTGCACTGATCCTTACGTAAGGTTAAGTCGTTCATTTGTTAAATATAATGAAAATAACATTAGCAGATACTTGTACTTATTGTTTTAAAGAAGTAAACAAATAATTCATGTAAAAATTTTTTCATACTTATTTGCAATTTATAGCGCCAATTAATGGAATGAATACAGTAGCTTAGATATTTTGTTTATAAATTTCGTTTGTCATACCAGATTACTTAAAACATTTTTTACTTCAATAGCTGATCGTTACCAATGGTGTTGAAATATTTTTAAATATTCAGACAAGGTTGAAATTTTTGTATACACTACGATTCTGAGAAGCATTTCGAAAACATGAGATATGCTAGCAAATAAAAAATATTTTAAGTTAAAATTAGTCAAATACCAAAGAAAAGACTGAACATTTTTGAATGTACTTTGTATATTAGAAATAGTAAGTATTAATTATATATATGAGATTCAAATGCCATTGTGGTAATAAAATATATTATAGAAAAGGAAGATATATGCATATTAGTGTATTGCGACCCAGCTTACGTACCAGAGTGACATCACCGAGTCCTATCTATATTATTGCTATTGGGTTAAAAGTGAACCCAGTGAGCTTCATCGAACACACACTATAGGAGCAATATAAGTTTTATTATAAAAAATCAATTCCTGGTTACCTTATTGTTATTGTAACCCGTAGGGATCTGTAAATCAGATAACATGTAAGGAATTACATAAAAGCAATTACATGAAGACGTGGGTTGGAATGTGGATGGGTGTTGGTTATGTGAGAAGGTTAGTGGGAAGAGGATTAGGAAGCGAGACTGGGTTGGGAAATGGATTGAACTTATATTGAAGACAATCAGGATCCATAAACTCATCCATTTCTTTGAGGCGAATTTAAAAATCGCTTGAACTCTGGTTTGTATCCGCGTTTGGGCAGAAGAACAGGACGACATCATGGGATTCGAACTGCAGTTGGAGCACACATTCCGACTTAACGCAAGAATGTGTGACAAGTAACTATTTAGCACACGACTACATTTTGATCTCAATTAAATTATAACAGTTCTTGCTACACTCAAAAGGTGTTGTTCTTCCTGGGACATTATAGACGGGACCGTATTCAGAACTTTGTTGCAGTGCAGCCATAGTAACGAAAAGAATACTGCATCTGTGTGGAGGGTTGTAAGTTCATGTTTATATTCGACCTTAGCGTGTTAGCTCTTTTACAATAGGTGGCAAACAATCCATGGTATGAAGGAAGAGATCGACGAATGTCCCTTCTTTTATAATTATTAAGAGATCAGTCATTAATATTGAAATTATGAGCAGGATTATCAAATATAATTAACCGAAAACTTTTGACTAGACCATTAATTTGATATTGTTCTTTTTTTCTGCTTCAAAAATCATTGTATAGATTAAGAGTTTAAATTAAATAAAAGTAATTAAAAATTTTTTTAATACATACATTACTACAATTAATTACTTCTTCTATTCGTTATTTTGTTAATGATAATACTATATACCAAATATGAACTATTAATCATTCGTAAAAGTGCTTTATTAAATACACTCTAGACTCGAGAGTGTACCGCCCAATTATTAGTCAGCATAACTGAAACTAACTTTAAATATATAAAGTATCGTACTTCGATTAATATAAGCGTTGGTTTTAATTTATAAGCATTTCTAACGAAAAAACCTTCTATTGTCTGGGTAACAAACAATTTTTAATTTGGCAAAGACAATAACGAAACTAGTTCAATAATTTATGTTTTCTTCTAAATTGACATTAAATGGATAAAAAACAATATTTTAAAATCGTGATTTGTAATTATTTGCTTGAGTGGGTTTGATGTACATAAATAACTATTCACAAACAAAATTTGTTTTAATATTTTAAATGATAGTGTTATAATAACCATAAAGATTTGTACACAACGGTTTTTTATTTAATTAAACCTTATAAAATTTACCAAGAAAAATAAATCGTATATAACATGAATGATTATTTGTATTCAATATATGTTTTATTATTTATTACTATATTTTTTTTTTCTAAAATTTTTATTTTTCAACCCAAAAAATTATATTGAACAAACTTAAAAATATAAACTTTTCTCCGATAGTTATTTTGTTTAGGTGTTTTATAATATGGTCAACAATATTTATCCATTTATCGGCTTCTACTCTCTGATCACATTAAATGTGTCTATGCAAGGTTTTATCCACGTAGTTGTATGCCATAATTGAGAGAGTGTTAACTGTTTAAAAGTTTATATGATTTATATAACCTCAAAAATCTCCAGGACTACTCTTTCATACTAAAATTATTGTATTCCAAAAAAATTGTCAGTAATAAAAGTAATCTATCAGATTATATTTACGCTTGATACCCCCTGGTATTAGTGTCAACCATTATACTCACTACAACCAACGCCCTTCGGCAAAATAAGCCAGAGACAAAGCCAATTATAATGCATACTGAAACTAAAATAACAATGATAGTTTCACCAGGCTGCCCTACTTTGCACTATCTAATCTGAGAGTAATCACTAACCGTATGAGGAGGTACGCAGATCTTAGATCAGTCATTGAATCACGAAGATTATCAGGAATACTCAAATTAGCCAGTGAGATGGGCGGGACTCTGCAGAATCCCCCCAGCTATCATAGAGTAAAAGTGCCCAGATGCACTAACTCGGAAAAGGCTTAACATAAACCAGTTTAGATATATTCATATATTGTATATATATTTCACATATATCCGTTAATTTCTTCTCTAACCAAAAATACTCCTATAGGAGTAAATTAAAATAATGCGTGTGAAATAATTGTATGATCAATATAACTTCAAGTTCCAAGAATACTATTAGACTCCTTAAAGAGCCTATTATTAGGTACACTGCAAGTTAACTATGAGTTGATTTGCCGAGATCTTCATTTGTTTTAAGGATATGTAGTTAAAGTATTTAAAAGAATTATATTTTATACTTTATATATTTTATACAGTTATATACTTTCTTCTAGATTTAAGATTCTTTGAAAATTCTTGTAATTTTTAAATGATTGTTTGTGCTTCCATTACTGATTAAAATGTGTAGGTATCACTACCTCAATAGAGGTAAAAACAAAAAATATTAACGATTATTGCAAGCTTTTTTGTTAAAAATTTTATTGTAATTTTTCTTTAATTCAAATCAATAAATAATTTACTAATATAGCATTTTATTTAAGGACAAAAAGAAAAAAGAAAAAAGAAAAAACAAGACTTTGTATTGAATAGGTCATATTCTAGTCTTTACACCAAAGAGTACTAATTAAGTACTAACATTAAAATTTGATCGGCTAAACTGGTTGTTTTAATTAAGCTAAATGCATATTACACAAACCTGGTAGTAAACCCCCATCTTACTTTAGACTAAAATCTTACCTCTGTTAATGGAACAGAGTTGCTCTGTTAGTGGAACATTTTCCAAGTTCCACTAATTTGATTTGGTATATCAAAATTTTTCCCTTCCTTATAAATGAAAACAATAAGTATCATTTTGGAGCTCATCATTCACATGTGAAATTTTGATAAAAGAGATATGATAGGCAATTGAACTCATTTGATTTGTATTGTCAAAATTTTTACCTTCCTTATAAATGAAGACAATAAGTATCATTTTGGAGTTCATCATTCACATGTGAAATTTTGATAAAAGAGATGTGATAGGCAATTGAAATCATTTGATTTGGTATATCAAAATTTTTCCCTTCCTTATAAATAAAAACAATAAGTATTATTTTGGAGTTCATCATTCACATGTGAAATTTTGATAAAAGAGATATGATATGCACTTGAACTATGACAGATAACAGAGAGTTTGTGAAAAAAAATGTTTAAATATATCTTCTACTTTCTCTCGTATTTTTAAGATTGAAAAATATTAGTGTATATATTTTAGTGATTTATTTTATGAAGTATGATTTAATTAAGCAATCCTAATGTTGCGACTGCTATAGGTGCAATGACTTCTTAGGCGTATTGTGTTGATTGTGACATTTCAATGAAAAATGTTTTCCCCAAATCAGGTGGTGTGAGTTAAGCTAATTTTCAACCTGATATAAATAAATTAATATACTTTTATACAAAGATACATGCTTGCACGCACATGTGTAATTAACTCCAATAACGGAACTCTTAATCGCGTACTACTTACTGAAAAGGCAAACTTATTTTGCTTTCTTTCGCAAGTTTAAATACAATTTAGTGAAAATTGTTTTTTAACATTAACATGCGTGAAAAAAATCCATTAAATATGTTACATTATCATTTTGGTAATCTACATTTTTTTTAACTTGAAAAAGAAATTAAAATTTTCATTGTTAATCATTAATTTTAATTTTTAAGTTTTTAAACAAATTTAATCTGTATTTGATCAAGCCCTTGAGAATAATAATTCTTATG